CTGGTTTGATTCCCATTCAGGGCTCATGCCTGGATTGCGGGTTTGATCCCTGGTCAGGGTGCATGGGGGAGGCTGCTGATGGATGTTTCTCTCCCACATCCATGTTTCCCTCTCACATCAATGTTTCTCTCTCCCTCTCCCTCTTCCTTTCTTTTTCTCTAAAATCAATAAACACATATTAAAATAAAGAAAGAAAACCAAGAGAGGAACCAAAGAAGTAGTGAATGTTTATTATAAATTCAATCTTTTATCTACCATTTCCTGACCAAACAATCTATTGGAATCATAACTTGCCCTAACTCCCTGCCAGGAAAACTGTGACAAGCCAGGTAGAATGATGGATGGCCAGTGATGGAAAGTTCTCTTTGGTCAATCTTGCAATTTTGGTTGCCTTGGTGACTCTTTATTGCCACCCCAGTCCCTTGACTCCTATGTCATACAAATTTCCACATCATGATGACAACAAAGGTTGCATATAGCAGAAAGTCTTTGTGGTGAAAATTCTACTCATCAGCTTCATATCTAGAGGTCACGGCCCTTTGCTGGCCCAGACATTTTAGAGTTGCTTGTTCACTCTTAGTATTTGGCCCTTTGCAAATCTCTCTTTTCACTCCTATTCTTGCTCCTTGCTTCCCTCCACATTTTATATTTATCAAATGGCATCAGCCCCTGTGGACCATGAAAAGTTGCCAATGCCTCATGAGCATCTGGCAGAACTCAGGAGGTTGGGGGGAGCAAGCTGGATTCAGAAATCAAGGTGGCCTCACCTCATTTATTCAGGTACCTGTGTGTGCCAAGCACAGGGGAACAAAAGTGAGCAGTACAGGTCCCTGCCCACCAAGCAGCAGGGGTTTACCAGAATCAGGAGCCAGATTTAACAAATAGAAAATACAAGACACCTAGTTTAATATTAAAGAACAAACAATTTTTAGTATACGTTTAATCATTTTAGTATAATATAATACATTTTTAGTATATCCCATTAGGGACATACTAAAAAATTTCAAAAAATTTTGTTGTTTAGCTGAAATTCAAATTTGGTGGGGTATCCTGTATTTTACCTGCAAACCTACCCCCAGGACACCTGCCCTGCCCCTCTTGGTGTTGGTGGACATCCAGGGATAACTCACAAGGTCTCTCCTGCCCAAAGTCCCCTCGGAGGGAAATCTGCGGGAGATAGAAGTCATGCTCCCAGCTGAGAGCCCTCTAACTCACTCAAGCCATAGTGCTTACTCACCAACATGTGGTACCTGGAGACAGGGCAGGGAAAAGAAGCTGTAGGACCGTCCTCTCCTAAAGTCCAATGCCATTGCATTCTCCAGGGACATTACTTTCCTCTGAGATATGGAATATTGACCAGCCTATGTTTCAGCCACTGATGTTTTCTTTATACATTAACACAAGCTATAGGCAGGGCAGATTAAATTCCAAGGGAACTACAGTAATAAAAACAATTAATTATAATAGTATAACCCAGTGGTCGGCAAACTGCGGCTCACAAGCCACATGCGGCTCTTTGGTCCCTTGAGTGTGGCTCTTCCACAAAATACCATGTGCGGGCGCACATGTACAGTGCGATTGAAACTTCGTGGCCCATGTGCAGAAGTCGGTATTTTGTGGAAGAGACACACTCAAGGGGCCAAAGAGCCGCATGTGGCTCCCGAGCTGCAATTTGCCGACCACTGGATAACCTAACGTCTATTGACTGCCTGTTATGTGCTAGGAGCAGCACTTCACCCTGGTTCTGTCATTTCATCTTCCCAACAACCCTATGAGTTAAGTAAAGTATGGACCCCTTTTCATAGATGGGAAAATGGATATAAAGAGTACAATGAATAAAAGAAAGATCTCCATAAGTAAGAAAATTTTATTTTTAAAAAATCAGAAACTGATCCAATAAAATTATCTAGGACGATTTACTATAACCATGTGAAATTTGATGTTTGGGGGGTGGGGGGAATGCTACTTTTTTCCTGCAGTCCCACAGGAACAAGAAGAGAATTTATTTAGGGGAGGGCAGATCAATTAGAATAAGAGAAGGGCTAGGGAGAGAGCAGCAGAGTTGCTCAGCAGGGAGGAGAGCTGGCCAGGGCTCTGCAGGCCTCACCTCCTACCTCTAGCACAGGCACTGCAGTGACACACAGGTGAAACAGTGGCCCCTTTTAGCTGGGAGGAGACTAAGCCACCTTGAGGCCAGAGGTTGCCTGGATATTGGGGCCCCAGCTCCTAGGCATGGCTGCCGGCCACCAGTTCAGCTCTTGGCCCTGACTAGTGCTGGAGGAGCTGTCTTCAGTCAGAGCGTCCCCACCGCTTGTTTCTCCTGGGCCCAAGGAGGCTTGGGAAGAAGATGGCAAGGAAGAGGAACTGGAGCCTAAAACCTTCCTCCCTACCCATCTGGAAAGAAGCAGTAGAGGCCTCTGACTTCAGGCCTGCCCTGACTACAACCGCCATAGGTACAATCACTATCACTGGGACCATTCACAGCCACTGGAACCGGAGGTTGTGTGTGTGTGTGTGTGTGTGTGTGTGTGTGTGTGTGTGTGTGAGAGAGAGAGAGAGAGAGAGAGAGAGAGAGAGAGAGAGAGAGAGAGGCGGGGGGGGGAGGGGGGATATTACATTCTCCTACAAGCTTTTCAACAGGAGCTCTGGTCTCAGTAGGGGAACCTGTGCCTTGGTAGAGGAAGCCAGGAGACTAGTGGTCCTGACCCACCTTCTTCCATCTAATATCCTGCTGGTGCTTTCCATTGGCCAAACCCAACAAAACAACCCCCCATAAAAGCTATTATGTACAAAGAAAAAAACTAGTAAATGTATGAGAAATTATTTCTTTAAGAACTCACATATTTTGAGAATTAAACATGTATATAATGCTCAATATCTGATATATGCATATTGAGGTGTACTTGTGCTTTACAAATTTTTAAGTTTTAATAATCCCAGCTATAGAAATTTCTGAAATACATTTCTTGGAACCAGAGAAATGGTAGAAAATAGCCCCCCCCCCCCCGCCGCAAATTTCTCATCTGAAGAGGGTTTATTGGATCTTTTAACACTAACCTTGGTAATCAGCATGCTTTGTAAAATAGCATCCAATGAATTACACTATCTTGACTTCAATTGTAACAGGAAATGAAACCACTTCTGGATAGGTGACGTCGGAGTCTCCCATCTATTTGTGGGCAGCCAGTATCATACATGTGTCAGAAAGGGAAACATGTTCATGATTAGCCTTTATTCCCATTCGACTCATGTATGTTTCAGTCATACATGACTTTGGATAATACATTTTTCATTATGTATTAAAAAAAAAACAGAGGAAGCCTATAAAAATTATATTAAAAAATGCATAATTCAAATTTTCCCAGCAATAGCTTACTAGGCAAGAAACAATGTCCTGGTTACCTAAGGGGTGATCCGCTGCCCTTCCCAGCTTGCACCATGAACTTCTGTCACTGGCTGGACTAACAAGGGGATTCCGACCACTGAGGGCCCCAAACTATAAACCTTCTCTCAAGACAGGATCCCTCTCATCCAGCCACAGAAGCTGCAGAATCCAACCCTGCCAACCAACCTTCCCAGTGTTCACCAGAGACATGGCCCAGGAATGGGTGGAACATAACTGAACAAAACAACAACTGTCTCCAGCTTGTTTGTCTTAGGTTTCCTTTAAAAAAGCAATGCCATTTAAAAAATATACTTTCTCACCCTCACCTAAGTACTCTGCCAGGTTCACTTTGGCCCTTAGGGGAAAACAGTTATATGTTTGCAAAAACCAGAATGTTTCTGTAAGTTTGAAGCCCTTTCCTCAACTTCTAGGAAAAATGCTAAGAGAGCCAAGTAAATAAATACACACAAGAAAAAGCAACAGAGTCATCAAGCCGTCTTGATGAGTAGACTTCTAGGGATTATTAACCCTTGTGTGTATAAGAAAGGAATTAATACTAACCCCATGTGATATGATTGATAGTGATTGTTAAATTAAAATAACTCTAGGTGGGCTCATATTAGAAGGCAGGTTAGGGAAGATAAAGGCAGACTCACTTCCGTAATCATTCAGCACCTTAGTGAGCATCGGCAAGCTACTAGTGTTTCTGCCGCTTTTCTATAGCTCATACTCTACTTAGGGCACTGTGTTTGCCCTTACAGGGGTTCCAAAATTATTCCCCAAATAGCCCCTGCCTTAAAGGAGGTCATTGGAGTGACCCATGGGGTGTTATGTAAACGATATTTGGAACTACTAATATCATTCATGGAAAACCTCTTTTATACAACATATTGAAATTCAAAAAGAAGTTCCCTGCTTTGTAAGATGAGAGAATCACACTGATTTCCATAAAATTAGCAAATGATGATTTCCCCCCCTCCACTTGAAATGCTCTTATTCTATCAGCTTCAGTACAAACAGATCAGCACACGTAAATTTTCTGGAAAATACCTGGCATGAATTGTGTATAAAAGCCATGCTTTTGAAGAGCTAGGTAGGAATATGGTAGATGACCATAAAAACTGCTTTGTATTCTCTGAATCCTTCAAAGTATTTCTAATACAAAGTTGACATAAACATCAATGTTTCTAAACTTCTGGCAGAATAAGCTATAGAAACAATTTCAAAAACCTTTGTTCATAGATGTTACTCAATAAAACATTTATTAAATGACTAATAAGAATTTATCAGCCTGGCCGGTGTGGCTCAGTGTTTGAGCATTGACCTATGAACCAGGACGTTACTGTTTGATTCCCGCTCAGGGCACATGCTGGGGTTGTGGGCTCAATCTCCAGTGTGGGGCGTGCAGGAGGCAACTAATCAATGGTTCTCTTTCATCATTGATGTTTCTATCTCTCTCCTTCTCCCTTCCTCTCTGAAATCAATAAAAATATATTTTTAAGAAAAAATGCATCAGGGACAGTTTTCAGTTCTGAATTAAAAGCAGTTAGAGAGCAATGCTGTTCTGAAGGGGATATATGACTAGTATCTAATGCAATCATTTTTATTCCTTTAGGAGAAAAATCAGCACTGAAATTGAATTCCCTGAGAAGCTAGAAGGAACCAAGCTCACCGCAGCTGAAAATGAAGACCAAAAAAAGCTCCATGTTAAAATACAGGCTTTTGAAGACAAAGTAAATGCTGAGATCAATACCCCTGGATCTACCAGAAGATATAGTTTGGGCCAAGTTTCCAAGGAAGAAAGAAAAGACATTAGATTTAACAGGTATAAATTTTGCTTGGCTGTTTTTTTTTCAAATATGTAATTCATGTTGGCTATTGGTTTTATTATCACACTGTTATGGGCTGTTTTTTAAGTATCTTTTACTTATAGTCACCCAAAGTTCCATCCTTTCATGAATGAAACTTCCTTCACAATACTTTAATTATCCAAAGAAGCTCATTTTTGGGGAAAAAAATGAGAATACACATGACTTATTTTTTAAAACATTTTTTAAATTCTATAGATATGGAGAATGACTTTCAAAAGCTTCTCAATTTCTGATGAAAAAGCTGAAGCAGAAGTAGAATAAAACAATATAAATATATAAGCCCATCATGTTCTAGCCAGTTTTGCCACAAAATTGATTTTTAAATCTATTGGCAGGTGATCTACATCTTTAAAGGATTGGCTTATTACATAACTTGGTGGTCTATGTTTTATCAAATCTGTTAATAGCACTGATTTTCCGTTTCACACTCTAGAGGAAATAACTTTTGTCCCAGCGTTGTTATTCTTTCTTTTCCTTGTCAGTGAATGGTCACTCTTTACTGTCTCGGCCTTCCCTTTGTTTGTATTGTAGGTCAAAGAGTCTGGCTTTGCACACTGTGCTAACAAAGGGCATGAGTTCAGATGATGGGGAAGTTGTTGAGAGAGGAGATATACCAGCCAGCATCTCCCTTTCAGAAATAGACTCACTTAGCCAAGGAAATAAGTCACCCTTTAAGGCTGACACTGATGGATCACAGCTGGGAAATTCTTCAGTTTCACACCCAAGCATTATACATATAGAATCAGAGAATCTGCCAGAAACAGTAAAAAAAAACTATCAGGAAGAAACTCCAGAGATGACTGTAAGTCCTGTAGAATACCAAGATAAGCTCTACTTGCACTTAAAGAAGAACCTCAGTAAAGTGAAAGCATACGCTGTGGAAATCGGAAAGAAGATTCCAGTCCCTGACCAGTGTACCATTGAAGGTAAGATCTCCAAACTCCCCAACATTGAAAAATTTAAGACATCATTGGGGGAAAAAAAGGGCTCAAAATGATAGAAATTGCATTTTCTGGTTCTTTTGAAAAATAGATCATTTTAAAGCACCACTACATTATTTTAATTACTTTTCCCCCCAATAAGGTCAATCATCTTTCTAATTCTCATTTGAATTCAACTTCATCTGATTTGTTTGAAACTCAGGATATATTGTTTCTGGTTCCTTGTCCCTAGCAATCAAGAAAAACCTAGAAAGGGGTCTGTGGCCCCCCCAAACAGGCTCTATGGTAGGGGTCCAGCCAGAGGCATTTTTCTATCCACGTAATTGTGCTCCAATTATACGCAGCACTGGGCTCCAATCGATTTTTCTTCCATTCATTCAACAAGCATTTATGAAGCAGCTACTATGTGCTAGGTGCTGTGCTAAAGATTGAGCTTTGTGTGAGATTCACCTATGACCCAAAGAGACACAACTCCTCGCCTCTTGGAGATTAGAGTAGAGAAGGAAAAGAGCACAGCCATGGTCAGGAGGTGGTGTAGGTCCAGAACCAGTGAGAGTGTGAGCTCATCAGAAAACAGAGGCCAAGGTGAGAAAAGGATGTCAGGGGTCGAGGCTTCTCTGGGGTGCACGTTTTAAGGAGGTGCCCCAAAAAATCAGTAAAATTTGAAGTAACAATAGCATCAGCAGCAATGTCTTGACAGCCATGTTGGAGATGAGGTAAGTAGTAATGTGGATCACATCTTTATTTATAGCTTTTGATATTTTGTTCATTGTTATTGTATTCATTTAGATTTTTAAAAATATTGTTTATCTTGAGTACCCAATTTTCTGGTGCCTCCTCACATGTCATGCCTTAGTCCTCTCTGGGAAAGATGATGGATTTGAGACATGGGTATTAAAAATGGTAGAGTTGCCCAGCTGGTGTGGCTCAGTGGTTGAGATCTGATGTATTAACTAAGAGGTCATGGTTTGATTCCCATTCAGGGCACATCCCTGGGTTGCGGGCTTGATCCACAGTGTGGGGCATGCAGGAGGCAACCTATCAATGATTCTCTCTCATCATTGATATTTCTGTCTCTCTCTCCCTCTCCCTTCCTCTCTGAAATCAATAAAAAATATATTTTTTAAAAATGACAGAGTGCCAAGGCAGGCTCACCCTCTGGTCTGGTTTGGATGGCTCCAAGGCACTACCAGGGCGATTAGATCTTTCCCACAGCCATGCTTAGGCAGCAGGCATGTTCTTCCCTTGAGATTCAGATAGTTCAGATGGAAGTCTTAGCCCTCTCCTTGGACATGACATCTTTTCACAGGCTACAGTCCTCACTGAAAAAGCCAGGCAGCCCATCTTCCAGAAAGAAGTACAGCTGAAGGATAGTGACTCCAATTCATAGTCACTCACCTACTGACCATCCTCCCCTTCCAGGTTTAGGAACTAGAAGGGGTTTTCCTACTCTACTTTCTATCCCGTCTCTCATTCCAAATCAGAGGGAAGAAGATATTCCCACACTAACGAACGCAAGGGGCTTAGTGGGTTTTAGGGCTTGGGAATAATGGATATTATTGTTTAACATGTCTGTCTAGAATCTGACATTTTCAAAGGTGTTTACATTCGTTTACTGATTAACCTTCTTAAAACTTTTTTTAAATGTTGAAAATAAAAGTGATATTGCTCATATTCAATATAACTTTTGGATAATAAAGTATACCAGGGCTTGGGAATAACTAAAATCAATCAAACTCAACTAATACAAACTCTTTACAATTTCTCATTTCACTAGTAATCTATGCATTTATGCACAAGTTGAAGAATTTGATATAAGAGAGGTTAAATGAATTTCCCAGTTTGTCAGAGGAAGTCTGTAGCAAGTAGAAAGTTAGCCACATTTCCATCTACAAGAATAGTTTCTGTTTTGGGGGTTTCTTGCTTTAAGTTTAGCTTAAAGCATTCAAGGTATGCTACATGGTGAAGTCCTGCAGAGTTACTTCAAGCATCTAGTTCTCAAAAACATGTGGTATTTCTTATTACCTTAAATTATTTGGGGTGTTTGAGAGTTAACTAGGTGACTGGGTGGTTTTTTGTTTTTTTCTCCAAAATGTTGAATGAATCCATCATCTTTACTAAAATAAATAAATAAATAAATAAATTATTTTCTTTTGATGTTTCCTATCAGGAATGACCTAAAACTGAGTATGTATATTTTTAAGCTGACACTTAGGAATTCACTCATACTTTTATAATTTCCTGGATGTTCTTGGTAAATTCCTTGTGCATATATATGTGTGAGGGATGGAAGATTTATATGACTCACTATAAATAAGTTCACCAAGAAAGGCCTCATGCTGACTGCAGGGGACACGCTGTTATTATTTCAGAGATTGTGTAAACCATTCAGCAAAATGCCAACAGTCATCTGTGTGACACAGTTTTGCTTGGTCTCATGAGTTCACTCAGCTCAACAATACAGTGCTTCTTTCATAAAGATTCATAGAAGGAAGACTTAGGCTTAGAGATTGTTATGCTTAATGTGTTGTTGGTATATGATGTCTTTCTTGCAACTTATGCAAAGTAATCAAGTTACAAAGGGAAGAAGCATAAAAATCACTTCCACAATATTAAACAGACAAATAACCAGAAGGAAACAAGATCAACAACAAAGGGTTGAAATGATTTTAGTTTGGTGTTACAAAGTCCATACTACGAATATGACAAAACAACCCTTTAAACAAATTGCTTTTTGGTATTGGTTAGAATCATATGCCACAACTGATATTTGACTTCCTATATTTTTACCTATGAACCATCACTTGCATACAGTTCAACTTAACACCTTAGTAATAAATGGGGTTGAAGAAACAGGTACCTGACTAGGTACAGTGCAGCAGAATTCAGTATATGGTGAATCAAGGTCACAAATAACTCTCCTAGCCTCAGTCAGCTACCTTATTATTGATCACAGTGCAAACAGGCAGTCTACACTAATAAAAGAGAAAATGCAAATTGACCATACCTTTGCAACACCCACCAGCCAATCAGGAGTGAGTTTGCAAATTAACACAACAAAGATGGCGGGTTAATTTGAATACGCAGGCGCCGAGCAGGGATGCTTGCGTCCCGCACCGCCCCAGCCACTCCGGGCCTCTGGGCAGCGTGGGAAAGCAGAAAGGCGGCTCCAGCCAGAGTGAAGGCCCATTCTTGCATGAATCTTCAGGCAGTGGGCCTCTAGTAGAGTATAAAGAGATCAGCACAAATCTACCAGCATGTCTGGAAAAGCTGTCAAACCCCAAGTCTTATTGAGTTTGGGCCAGCAGTGTCATTTTGGTTATGAAAGAGCCTGTTGTCCCCAAGTCAGTAATTCTCCCCTGGACCTTTGAGGCTTTAGCATGGATGCAGGTTTGCCAACTACTGCAAGTTATGTATTCATATACAGACTGGTGGTCTTATATCACTGCCTAATTATATTTACATACAAGACCAAAGCAATTCAGTTCATCTACTAAAGGGCATGTTAAAAAGCTGAACCACTGGTATTCATTTATGTGAACAAAAATGATTAGAAGTTAAAAAAAAAAATCATGATATTGAAATAAATCCTTGAAAATCTGGCTCATCACTGGATTTCCATAAAGGATGATTTAAAAGCTTACAAGAACCCATCAATGCTGCTTTAGTTAGCCTTGAAGTATTTCTCGATTGGGTGAAAATAAATCCCATCTGTAGAGCATATCAGCAAGCTGACTTGCAGAAAGCTAATTTTAAAGCTAGTAATGTTGTCCTTTCTCTAATAGACCCACATGAGTTGATTTTTCTTGACTTGAACAGATATAAGGATATCTAAAGGTGAAATAAAGTTCAGTGTAACTATCAAGCACCAGAAGCTGTTTTCAACATTAATTACAAATAGAGCTCCCTTATTGAAATTTTGCTTGTTGTCAAGTCCACTCTCATGTTGGGATGACAGAGGGGCAAAGCCAAGACCAGTCCCGATCTATTCCTGCTCAGTTGGTCCAATCTGGGGGGTGATAATGGTAACACTCATCCACTTGCTGGTTCTGGGGAAGGTTTCTTTCTTTTTAAAAATAGTTTGGTTTACTCATGGGACTGAGATCATTTATCCATGGGGAGAATTGTAAGATTTAGAGAAAGAAAAAAATACCTAAAGTTTTTACTCACAATTGGAGAGGAAAAAAACAGCAAATAGTATAGATGTTACAAATTTTCTGAAGCCTTATTTAATTGAAGTGATCCCTTGGGCCCACGTGTTGAGAAAACCTTTTCTAGAGAATTTTTCTTGGTACTTTGAAATTTATCTTGGATTACCTTACCTTATCCATCAGTTCCCATTTCTCCGAAGTGTGGATTTTAGTCAAAAGCAGACAGATAAAATGGTGGCTGGGTTCTCCTCTTTACTTTCTCCTGCTACACATATCCTGGATCCAGTCATCTGCAATGGCCTATAAGAAACATCCAAATAATAAGGAAAACCTACAAGTCCTTTTGAAAAGATCCCCTCCCAATTACTCTATTGTGTTAACACCAGATCATCACATCACCAGGGAGGATGTTACAGTCGTAAACCCATGAAACATGTTGCAGAGTCCCATCAGAGGACATCAAATAACTTCACTTCTCATTAATTATGTGTTCAAAGACGCCTCCTTCTTAACAAATGAAAAAGTTGGATTTTCTTTGAACATTAAAATAAAGAAAGAAAAATACCCTAACCATGCTAATGGACAAAAAGTTATGTTGTTTATCTTCATCTTGGTTTACATGATATTTATCTACAGGAAAGATGTACACTTATCCAACCAGGAAGCAGCTTAAAGTAAAATTGGAAAACACATGTACATTCTTGGGCCATTTTTGTGTGAAAATTCAGGAGAGATTATCTGCCTATCAATGAAATGAGCCACCTAAACCCTTTGAAATGGACAGTGTCTCTAATATAGTGTCCACCTTGAATATGTCCCTAGTAAGTGTACAGG